ATTTAACCATTAATAGTGTATCCTGTATTAGGTGCCTTCGAAATTAAGCAATCAGCTATTCGCTAAAATTGAGGAAAACAAGATTCCAACATTACATATCGTGTTTGATAAAGGCGTAACATTTAGTTGGTTTGAGAAGGCGTGCCGAAGGGATTCGTAGATTAGCCTCACCGGATATCACAGGAGGGTCGCCTTGGAATTTTGTTTTTTGAAATGTGCGAAGAAAACCTCGGCTCACCGTCCTACGACCCCTATGACTCCGTGCTGAGCGTTCAGTCATCATGTGATGGACATCAGCAGAGCCAGAAAACATTATACACGAAAGAATCACAAAAAACACTAAACCGAGTAAGGTGGCCAGCTAAGCTCCTACGTATTATACGTATTATACCTAACTTTGCGAGCTTGAAGAGACATTCGATGATTTGGTTGGCTGACCTATGCTTGTCCTACATGCATGTAAGTGGGTCAAAGTGATGCAGGCGTGGGAGTGGATGTGGCCGCAACTTTTGTAAATGAAAATAAACTAGAGTATGATCCAGTAGTCCTGTGTCTTATTGCAGCTTTGTAAATGCTTGTTTGCGTGTTTATGCAACAACTCCGAGTTCGTTGATAATTTTAGATTCAAAAACAGGCTCAAGCTTAGTCTAGTCTTCTCCTCTTACTCAATGGCTCTTCCTGTTCCATTTCCTTCTCTCTCTCTCATTATATTTAGAAGCTAGAGTTAATTATTATTAGGCTTTCCACATTCATTTCTCTTATTCAGGGTGTAGCTTTTTTTGTTAATTTCAGTCGAATCCCTGATCTTCCGCTTTGCTATTTAGTTATAATATCCGGCAAAACGTTGGGATTTAGACCACTTTAACTAGTGTCCTGTAACAACCAAATGTTTAGCCACTTCCGATTTCTGAAACCATAAACCTTTGCAAGCGGTTCTGTGTTCTGATAACCTTTAATGCATGTGTCGGCAAGTCTCCCGCACATAAACACTAATATTTAAGTAAAAAACCTCATAATAACCTGATCTGCAGAGGGCGTCGGAAGATTATCTAAAAATTTCACGATAGAGGAAAGTGTTATTGTTTCTTTATACTTAATCTTGGCATTTTGTCAAGAAATATAGACGAATAATTCAGAAAATAGTGTGTCAAGACCAGGTATAAA